GCCGGCATGGCTGGGATGGGCAAGGGGTGTGGCTGGGTGTGCAGTGCTACCGGTTTGAGAGAACCGGACAGGACCAGCTGAATCCCACCACTTGGGTCAAGAACTGGATTAGAATCCTTCAGTTAGATGGTTATATACCTTCTCCTTAAATACTTCCAATCAAGGGGAGATCAGCAGATCTCTGGGTCACTGTTTAGGAAGCTTCACACCCACCATCCCAACATTGTTAGAATCTGCCTTCCTGTAGCCACCCCAGGCATCTGTATCTTGCATTCTTGGAATTATGGAGGACAGTTCTAAATAACCTTTCAGTTTCAGTTCAGTAAGTCTTCAACTTACAACTATTTATTCAAGCAGCTGTTTGAAGTTACAATGGCACGGGGAAAAATGACTTATGACCGTTGCCATGTCCTCATGGTCATGATCAAAATTTGGACATTTGGCCACTGGCTTGTATTGATGATGGTGGCAACATCCTGGAGTTGGGGCATGTGATCACTTTTTGTAACCTTCTGATCAGCAACATCAATGGGAAAGCCAGGTCCACTTACAGTTGTGTTATTTATTTAACAACTGTGGTGTTGTGGCAAGAAATGGGGTAAAACTCACTTAACAACTGTCTCACTTAGGAACAGAAATATTGGACTCAGTTGGGTGATAAATCAAGGATTACCTGGCTTTGGAATGTGTAATCATATCCCCAGTTAGCTTGTTGAGGCTAATCTCAGTCCCACCAATTTCTCTTCATAGGACTCAGATTTTAGTCTAATTTCCTGGCTATGCAGGTTATGGGATTTGCAGTCCAGGACATTTGAAAATCATCTCTGTGGAGAAGGCACCCTTGATGATTCAACCAAGAAGAAAACATTCTGACAATTCCCCAGTCAGGTATGAGTGATAACATCATTGGACTTTTTCTGAAGCTTTCCCCCTTCTTACAGATTCTGGAACCCAAAGACAAAGGAAGCCATGGTGGAAACCATCCTAGAAACTTGGACAATTGTCTTGGTGATCCTTGCTGCAGTGCTAATCATGACTATCCTGATGTTTCTCCTTCCTGCTGTGGTATTGCTCTTGAGGATGAGGTCTTTGTCACAGATCTCTTTAGGTGGAAATGTCTAACCTGCCTCTTTACACAGTGCTGGGTGATTTTAGATGCTTTGGGCTGCTTAGGAATCAAGACCAGGAAGAGGAAGCAATCTCCGAATCTGTGTGATATCTCCCTTGGACAACTCCTCTGACTCTTCCTCGGAGGCCGGCTTGAGGGTGGATGAGCTAATTCCTGGCACATCAGGTACTGGGTAAATTAATGACTCTGAACAGCTGGCCAAAAGAGATTTATGAGTGGCTTCGACTGGGGATAGTTTGCAGGTCAGTGAAGAGGAGGAGCTACCTTCCATGGTGGATCCGAGAGCACACAGAGCAAAGAAAAAACAATGGCAATGGAGATCTGCCAGATTACTCAGGAGAAGGCCTCACCCATCTTGATGGGCTGCACCAGAAAGCTATTTATCACAGCAGGCAAAGAGAGGCATTGCTGGGAATGCAGCACGTCTCTCTGTGTTTGGTTTATGGCTGTGTGTGTTTGTTCCTGGTGCTTCCTACCATTGAGACTCTGAACTCCTCTTGCCAAGTGAACTCTTGTGGGTGTATTTCAGTTTGACCTGGTGGATTTAAGTTCGTTTGATGGACTTATTTGTTGGAGCAACTTTCCCCCACCCTATTAGCCTTCTGGAAAGCGGTGAAGACCTGGCTTTTCCGACAGGCCTGGGGCCATTGATCTCGCTGTTCAATCTTGTGAGATCCAGCCATGGATGGTGTGCATGTGTTTTTAATGTTTTTAAAATGCTTTTATAATGTTTTTTTTTTTAAATTATGTTCACTATTTGTATTATTTCTGTTGTAAGCCGCCCAGAGTCCCTTGGGAGTTGGACAGCATAGAAATATGATTAATTAAATTAAATTAATTAAATTATGGACTAGTGGCCATTGCCTTGGCCTGCTTGTGGCTAGCTTTATTTGGGATAGTTCTGAGGCCAGGTGAAGGGAACTGCTGATGTGTATGTGTGTGTGTGTGTGTGTGTGTGTGTGTGAGTGAGTGGGGCAGCACAGTCTGCCATTAAAAGAAAAAACAGAAACAGAACTTGATACCCTGGACTTACCATACTCTTTCTTTGCATTGAGCTCATTTAATGAGAGTCTGTCAAAGGGGTCCTGTTAGTTAAATATAATTTCCTTGTAAGCAGCACATGCTAAGACAAATGAATGCACAAACTACCAACTAGATCTCTCAAACATATATCAATAACTTATTAACAGAGAGACATGGAGATCAGACCAATTTGTAATGCAATTCAGCCTCTGTTATTTGAGATTCCTTAAGTAGATAATTGCATTTTCTCAACTATTTGTTTTGTGGCTGTCAACTTACTGTTCTTATTTTTGTAACCTTGAACTTCTGTTCTTATCCCATGGCAAGTAAACATGATGTTGGGTTTGCCTTCATTCAAAATAAAGTCAGATATTATCAGCCTGTTAAACTGAATTTGAAACTCATGACCTGCAGGTCAGATTACTTGACTTCATTTATAGCTGAAAATTAACACTATTTTTTTTTCATCTCCAAGGATTTGTTAATACCCCCCCCCCCTTTTAGAAAAGAGGATGCAATTATTTATTTGTTAGATTTGCAACCCACCTATTTATAGGGAAGTTAAGATGGTTGCCTCCCTTAGTTTTAACCACCGACATCTCCCACACTAAAGGTATTATTAGCAAAGAGTCTTCTGCAAGCAGCATTTGAGATGCTCACCAAATTCTCAAATGCCCTTTTTTATTTGTGTCTATCTTCACATGCTGTCTTGATAGAGAATGGCTGAGGGGAATCAAATCCTTCCTAACAGAAGCTATAAATATTGTGTTTGTGTCTGTGCATATAGATTATATAGAGATGGATAATGTAGATTTAATGCAGGAGAAACCATGTCTCCCCCCCAAAAAATTCAATGTAAATATGAAACTTTTGCAATTGGAAAAAAAAAACCAGAAGAAAGAGGTTGCAATGAACTTCGATGGTTTCAGATCTTCACTCTGTTTTCCTATCACATAATGCATGACAACAGTTTGATGATAGTCATGTCCATGATGTTTACATGACAACAATACGGAAGTGGCTTGGCGTTGCCTTCTGGATTTTTCCCTTATTTCTATTAAGGGCTATTAAAATTTCCTCCAGTTTTATCATTTCAGCATTGTTATCTTTAGATTACAGGATTATAGATTTTTAGGATTATCAGAAATATTCACCCTGGCGGATGACTAAAAACTAATCAAAGACCACGATATTCCCAAGATGAGAGTTTACATGGACATAACTGTTCATTTTACTTGACGATACTGAAATGGATTGTGACTGAAGTTTTCTGAGATTTTTTTTTTCTAACACTAGCCCACCTATTCTGCAGTCCTAGTTTGGTCTGGTGATCTCATATTCACATACTAACAGAACCAAACATATTCAGTTCCCTGTGGCCCTGAATAGGTCTTTAAGCCTTCAGTCTGACCTCGGCTGCAGGCAACTTCATGGTTATCTTCACATAGTTATCATGGGCAATAAAAAAATGGAAGTGGTCTTCAACTCCCTCGTTCTAAGATGTTTCTTCAACAGTTGGCAAATCAGAGGTAAGGATCAGGCATGCAGGAATTGATGGTTTACATATTAACATTTGCCACTAATTTACTCCTAGTGGGATTTTAGCCTGTAATTTGGTTTTCTTCTTCAAGCCCTTCCTGTCATATTTCTCATCTGTCAACAAAGATGTAAAGATTTGTGCTGTAAATATAAAGCATTCTTTGACCTATGTTCAACTTCTGCTGACTTTATAAATAAATGTAATAATAGAGAAGCCTGCATACTTTACTTAGGGTAGGGTAGGTCTACCCTTGCCTCTTCCTTGGGCATGTTTACTTTTTACTTCCCAGTTCAACCTACAGCCTGGGGTCTCCAACTGTTACCTCAAGTAGAACTGACCCTGCTTAGCTTTTTCCAAGGCCAAGAGAATAGATTAACAGAGTTGGAAGGGACCTTGGAACGCTTCTAGTCCAGCCCCTTGCTCAAGCAGGAGACCCTATACCATTCTGGAAAAGAGGCTGTCTAATCTCTTCTTAAAAACCTCCAGTGATGGAGCACCCACAACTTCTGGAGGAAAGTCATTCCGCTGATGAATTGTGCGTTTCAATCTAGCCATCACCTTCCATTAAGGGACAAAAACATGCAACCACAACACAAACTTTGTGACTCAGATATTCGCATCCAAGGTCGGAGAACAAGTACAAAAGGGCAGAGTTTGCATCCTGACACCACAATGTCCATTTTGTAACATTTTCACCATCACAGTTAGCAGTTGATATCTTTACGGGAATCCCCGACCACCTTTTACTCAGGTATACAACAGGCTTAGCCCCCTCTGAAATCAGACAAGGTCTGCTTAGATGCTTTTTTAAAAAGAACACGTTTAGTTTGATCCAATCCTACTGAAAAGCAACTGTCCTTCCTAGAATTGCTCAAGCAGTTTTGCAGGTTGTAGTCTAAACTTCCTGTGTTATTTTAAAACTTTTGGGTTGTCATCAGACAGGAAGAGCAAATCAAGCAGGGTCTCTCCTGCTTGAGTAGGGGGTTGGACTAGAAGATCTCCAAAGTTTCCTTCCAACTCTGTTGTCTTATTCTGTTAATAATTTAACCAGGTGAACACTAAACCAAGGCTGGGCTATGCTGCCATCTAATGGCCAAACATCATGAGCATAGCTGGTTTTGCAACAAATTGTATTAAAAGTCATCCGCTTTGGAGCAGAGACGCACTTCATTTCATCAGAAGCACAGATGAAATGAGAAGGAGCTCCCAAACCTTGGTGCCTTTTACATTTGTTAGCAGGAAAGCTTGTACCAGATTCCCAACTCTCCTTCTGCAGTGGCTGAATTCAAGAGGGTAAGTGATCTACCGTCCCCTTAAATTGAAACTTTATTGAAATGTAATTAAAATTATGCACTTTAAATACATTGTAAAAGTGTAGTTTGCATCCCTTCCCCCCATTTTTGAAAATCTCCCCCTGCCAGACAGCTTTGATGGTGGCGATGCAAGAAATGACCTAAACATCAGAAACAGAAAACCATCAACGCCAAGAGAGATTTGCAAGCCACACACAAGAGAAGTGGGAAAAAGTGAGACATGTAGGAAGGAGGGCAAAGCCTACCCCAAATTTTAAAAACAAAAGATCTACCAAGGCACTGATAGGATTTTTCCAGGGATGGGAACAAAATATGCTTGTAATCCTGAGACAGAATTGTGATTATTATGACACCAGCCTGTCATTTCTTAATAATAGCAATTGATATAGCACCATTGAGCATATGTGATGCTTAACACAGTAAAGTAAAATACTGAATTTGAATTCTGATGAGACGATGCACAGAAGTGTCAAAGATCCTTGCACAGAGGGCTTCCTTCCCTCCTGACCCCAAGCAAGGGAAGCTTTCCTTTGATGCAACATTCATATTTCAAGAAACACAGCCTATAAGGTAGAACTACACATCTGTATTCTTGTCCCAGTTGAACTAAGAAGCATCAAATGGGACCTGAAACCAATTTGCTTCTGCAGAACCATTTCTCTAGGTCATGAGAAACGTTCCTCTTTCTGCCTTTTTTAAAAAAAATATTTTTATCCCACCTTTACTACTTTTAGATGTAACTCAAGGTGGGGAACAGGTCTAATATTCCTTCTTCTTCCTGTTTTCCCCACAACAACAACCCTGTGAGGTGAGTTTGGCTGAGAGAGAGGAACTGGCCCAAAGTCATCCAGCTGGCTTTCATGCCTAAAGTGGGACCAGAACTCATGGTCTCCTGTTGATTGGTTCAAAGTCAGCCAGCTCATTTTCATGCCTAAGGCAGGACTAGAACTCACAGCCTCCTGGTTTTTAGCCTAATGCCTTCACTACTAGATCAGACTGGCTCTCTCTTTTATTACTGGCCCAAGATATTATTCTGATTGAAGCAAACATCTATCCTGACTTTTTGGGTCAGTACACAGTGGTGATATTTTAAATTAAAATACTGGGGAAATGGTTCTTGTTCTCCTACTCCTCTCCAACAGCTCTCAAGAGTCATTCTTTCTCCATTTCCTTGCTTTATAAGTTGCTGCTACGTCTATCTCCTCCGTCGTATGTCCTCCTTCACCTCTTGCTGGATTTATTCTACTCTTGACAATTTCTCTCCAACTCACGTGAATGTCTTGAGCTTACCGTTCAGTCACGCCAACTCAACCATTGGCCGAAACGTGCGGCTTCTACACCACTATTCTGGCAATCTTTTTTTAAACCCTTTTGTATCTAAAAACTGTCTGGAACAGGCTCCAGAAATGTCAGCAACATTTATGTGTATTGATAAAAGGCACCAAGCATGCGTCTAAAACGTTTGCTTTTACAGGTAGTCCTTGACATACGATCATTCGCTTTGTGACCCATTGAAGTCACGACTGATTTCAAAAAGGGGACTCAAAACCAGATTTGAAATTTTGAGTGTTGGACCCACCTTGCGGGCATCAGGGGTTGGGAACATCTCGCCATATTTACAGTTATTCGTAGTGTCCCTCAGTCACATGACTGCAAGGGTTTTGCTGAAAACGGATATTTCCATTTTGGGGGCAAAAATTTCCCCCAAGGGAATCATGGGTTCACTTAATGACAGTGGCCTCTGCTTAACAACTGCCACATTCACTATATGACTACAGCTTTCATGACTGTTATGACATGCGACCATAACAGGCAGACTCCTTTATGGTCATCCGTGAAGGACTATCTGTAAGGCAGTTAAGAGAGGAAAGAGCAAGAAAGAATTAAACATGGATTGGACAGTTGGAACAGAATTAGTAAAATGTGGCAGAACTTCTCTTGAAAAAGATCTCCAACCTAGGGGAAATGTTCTGTTTTACTCCAAGAGTAGCTACTCCTTATAGCACATGGAAGCAGGATGCCAGAACTTCGAATGGTCCTGTTGCAAAACATCGAGAAATCATACCAAATCTGAGAAAAAGGTTTCTTCCTATTAGTAGTTTAGAAAGATGTAGTAGGTCTGCTGGATTGGGGGAAAAAAGTCCATTGTTTGATTGTAGGCTTAAGTCCCTTCTTGTCTTCTCCAATGGAATTTTCTCCCCTACCCCAAAATAGCAGCATTAGACAAAATTAAAATGGCATCCGTCTGCCCCGAATTTATCCAAGTCTGCATGGACTGATACGTAGAGAAAGCAAAGAGGGAATATTTCTCCATTATTATTTTTCTTCAGCACTGACAATGGTCAATGGAAGCACTCGGGGTAGTAAAACACTGTTCCTTCGAAATGGAGAGAGGTTGGCCCAAGAAAGTTAGAAGGCGAGCTTTTTCGGAACTTCCCAAGAAAATTCACTTCTTCCAAAATGACCGTAACAAGCTGTTTTCTGATAAATGGGCTTCTTTAAATCCAGATCCCTAAGTGTAAACAAAAAAAAAAGTTATTAAAGTTGCTTCCCCCCAGGGGTGGGTTCCAAATTTTTTTACTACTGGTTCTGTAGGCGTGGCTTGTTTGGTGGGTGTGGCTTAGTGGTCATGTGACTGGGTGGGTGTAGTTTGGTAGTCATGTGACTGGATGGGCGTGGTTTGGTGGTCATATGACTGTGGGCGTGGTTTGGTGGTCATACGACTGTGTGGGCGTGGCCAACTTGACATCACTCACGTCAAGGGTTAGGGTTAAGGTGCCTGGCCTCTCCTCACCTCAAAGACCTCAACGAGATACAATTTCCCTGTCTATTTACTACTACTGAACATCCAAAATATACTATTTAATCCTATGTACTTATGCCATATGTGTACATACATATTACATAGTATAGAGTGTATATAGGCACACAAAAAGATACATTATCTACTATATATACTGTATGTGTATGTACACACACAGAGAGCTTTTAAAACTATACACATTCAAGCTCACTTACTACATTTGGAAAAACACACCCAGAATCCACTTTCTACCACACACTGAACTATAACTTCTATACATTTAGAACATTACACACACCTTCAGATATTCTTCCCTACCTAGCTTGCACATGACTGTTAGAGCCAGGAGAGGTCATGGATTGAGTAAAATGTGGTGAAACTCACTTAACAACGCTCTTGTTTAGCAACCAAAATTTTGGGCTCAATTGTGGTCATAAGTCAAGGACTATCTTGCCTTCCTCTGCATGGCAGCCTTGTCCTAGTAAACTCCTTTTCCTTTCTGGCAATTTTCCTCTGTTGGAGGCACCAAAACAGTCTAGACGATATAAGGTTTCCTGCTGGAGCAGGGGGTTGGACTAGATGGCCTCCAACGTCCCTTCCAGCCCTAGAGTGCTATCCTGTTTCAAAGCGTCTTCTTAAGCCACGTCTAGTGCCAGGGTTTGTGGTCCTTCCTTCCTTCCTCTTCTTTCTTTCTCTTTCTTTCTCTTTCTTTCTTTCTCTCTCTTTTCTCTCTCTCTCTCTCTTCCTCCCTCCTTTCCTTTCCTCCTTAAATGCCAGCAAAACCCACCACTTTGCTCCTAAAGTGGTCTAGCGCAGAGGTCTCCAACCTTGGCAACTTTTAGACTTGTGGACTTCAACTCCCAGAGTTCCTCAGCCAGCTGGCTGAGGAACTCTGGGAGTTGAAGTCCACAAATCTTAAAGTTGCCAAGGTTGGAGATCCCTGCCCTAGACAAACAACCCACATCGCATCTGTTTTACGGGAGGAGGTTCAATTCATTGCCCGGTTAAAGACTGAAATGAAATGCTCCAATGACATTCGGTTCCAGATCAGATCAGGCTTTTTTTTTTTTTTTGCATGAAGGAGGAACACGGAGCGAATGAAAACAAAAAGCCTCCAGCCTCCAATGCGAAGCAAATTAAAGCCTCTTTCTCTCCTTCTCTTCCCCCCCTCCCCCTGCTTCCCTTTTACCTTTGTTTAATGCAAGAAGCAGCAGGCAAGAAGCAGCAGGGGACAGAAGCAGCAGCCACTGACTTGGAGACCACATGGAGTCGTTCACGTGTTCTCCGGCAAGCTGTTTTCTCTCCCCTGCTCTCTTGCTGGGAGAGAGAGAAAGAGAGTTGTTTGCAGCACTGTGTTTTGGGGACCCATCCGGAAAGCCTGGCACAGAGAAACAGCCAGGTTGAAGGCCAGTACTTTCAGCGCCCACGAGAAACCGCTCCTTGGCCCCAGCCATGTGTTTTCAAGCTCGGGCTGCTTGGAATGAAAAGCTAGTGCTAGTGAAAACACATGGCTGGGGCTGAGGAGTGGTTCCTCAATGGTGCTGATTTACCTTCCCTTCTACCACCAGCCATGGGAGGAAGGAGGTAAGATCACGAGCCCGGCGGGGATGGGTGGGGGGGCGCAGCAAGCTAGGCCACAGGCAGCATGGTCTGGAATGGAGCCGGGCTGGGCCGTGGCAGCTTAGCCAGGCACGCGAGCCCGGTGGAGACAGTGGGAGGGGCCATGGCAAGCGACAGGGACGGGAGGCTAGCGCGACTTGCATGCTTACCTGAGGAGGCAACTCAGCTGGGGTACAGGGCAGGCACTGTATGGGAAGGCAGTTTAGGCAGGCAAGCTGCAGAGCAGATTGTGCGCATGCACAAGTGCCACACAGTCTGCTCTGCTGCCCAGGAGGTGACTGGGTGGGGCAAGTGGGCGGGGCGAGCAAGTGGCGACCAGTTCGGGGGCGTGGCCAGCCAGCCATCTTTACTGGTTTGGCGAATTATCGGTACCGGATCGCCCGAACTGGTGCAAACCGGTAGGAACCCACCACTGCTTCCCCCACCCCTTGGATGCGGGCTACACTGGTATTCCTCGACTTACAAGAATTCATTTAATGGCCGTTTGAAGTTAGGATGGCACTGAAAAAAATGACTTAGGAAAAGTGACTTAGGACTGTTTATCACACTTACAACCTTTGCAACATCACAGGACTGAAATTCAGACACTTGGTAAATAACTCACATTTATGATGGTTGCAGTGTCCCAGGGTCATGTGATCCCCTTTTGCAACCTTCTTGACAAGCAAAGTCAACGGGGAAACCAGATAAGGCAGCCATTGATCTCCAATAAATGATGAGTTTCCCTGCCCCACACTTACTTATCTGATAAGCTATGAGGCAAAAGTTTTGAACAAACAGACTTTTCATTGGTATCTTGATGACCATTCCAGACCAGAACACTGACCTCAATAGGCCTCTTGGTTGTTCCAGCAAGGTACTTGTTATGAAAGGAGATACCACAAGCCAGTGCCACAACAAACTGCTTTAAAAGGTCCAGGTGTACGTGTGGAATGAGCTACTAGTCAAGGTTACATTAAAAAAAAAAAAAAAGCAGCAACCATGGTCATTTTAATAAAGGAATTTATATACATCCATTTCACTTCTGGATCAATCTGGGCCAGAAGAAAACATGAGCTTTTTTGAAGGCCAATTTTTCCTTGTGACGTTCACTGAAAATCTCTGGAACATTTTGTCCTACAGACGAGTCAATCTTTTCACTCAAAAAACTCCAGGCTCTCGCTTGGATAATTAGCCCTTTACTGACAGAACTGCTGGCACACCTATAAATCTGCCCCTTGTCGGAGGTCAGGTTTTAAGCCCTGGAACTGTCTAACATTTGAAACCAAGACTCTTTTCCCACTTGGCCAAATTGTAGCAAGAACTATTTGAAGAGGGAGAGTTGTTGAGTATGAAACTGGAACCCTCCCAGAGTGACATATTTGAAATGGTTTCTCTCTCACTCTCTCTCTCTCTCTCTCTCTCTCTCTCTCTCTCACTCACTCACACCCACACCCACACACCAGGAGTATCATACTCCCAAGGATGGGAGAGCACACCATAAATACTTCCCAGTCAGAGCCTGATTCTTTTGGAAAAACTCGAAATGGAATGGAAGGAAGTTCAGATTTTCATTCAGTTTCCAGGACTAGAAAAGCAACAGTTTCCACCATTTGTTTCTACACTGCTCCAAAGTGAAATACTCACTTGACAATGGCTCCGGGTCGAAGGTCAAAATTTTGGTGGACAATGTTGAGCAGCTCTTGCTCAGTGTAGGCAGAGGTACCATAGGTGAACAAGGAGATGGACAGCGGCTCAGCCACTCCAATAGCGTAGGCAACCTAGGTGGCAAGAAGGAGACACTTTGAGGCTGGCTTTGTACATGTCATCCACAGATTCATTTGGTGGCCACTCCTTTAGTCAGTAAAAAGGGGAGGTCCAGGTTTTGAGAAGAAGGGAGAAAACTGTCCATGATTGTCCAAAGATTCAAATAAAGAATGGCATTAATCAGAAAGAACAGAGGACCAATTTAGTTTAGTTTAGTTTTAGTTTTATTAAATTTGTATACCGCCCTACTCCCGAAGGACTCAGGGCGGTGAACAGGCACAGGATAAAATACAGAAATACAAAAGTTAGAAACAATTTAAAACCAAATTAAATAATTTAGCCCAAGACAATTAAAAATCCCAATAATTTAAAACAAATTAAAATTTCAGTTTAAAAATTTAAAAGAAAGGGGAGAAAATTAGGCCAGGCCGGCTTGCTGGAATAGGAGGGTCTTAAGAGCACGGCGGAAAGTGCGCAGATCCGGGATCCTCCTTATCTCCGGGGGGAGCTCGTTCCAGATAGTGGGTGCCCCCACAGAGTAGGTCCTCCCCCTGGGGGCCGCCAGTCAACACTGCTTGGCTGACGGCACCCGGAGGAGCCCCTCTCTATGAGAGCGTACCGGCCGGTGGGAGGCTGTTTGTGGTAGTAGGCAGTCCCGTAAATAACCAGGTCCTAAGCCATGGAGCGCTCTAAAGGTAGTAACCAAAACTTTGAAGCGCACCCGGAAGACCACCGGGAGCCAGTGCAGCTCGCGCAGGAGAGGTGTCACACGGGAGTGCCATGTTGCTCCCATAACCACCTGTGCGGCTGCACTCTGCGCCAGTTGGAGTCTCCAGGTGCTCTTCAAGGGGAGCCCCATTACAATAGTCCAGGCAGGAGGTGACGAGGGCATGAGTGACTGTGTGTAGGGAGTCCCGATCCAGAAAGCCACAGGGGCTGGTTCGGCAATTTATGTCAAGACCATCTACTCCCCTTCCCAAGCCATGGTGGGAGTGGAGGAGGCCACAGAAGCAGAGCACCTGCTGGGTGCCTGGCCCAAAGAGCCAGGGGATAGGTGGAAGCAGAGCAAAGCAGACCCAGCCCTCAAGTGGAGGGTATTGGGACAGACATGCTGCAGGCACTCCCAAGAGTGGGGATTCCCGCTGCCGTTATGCAGCCAGTCACTAGCGGGCCTCCTGGAGCAGTTCAGCCAATTTAGCATGGGCAGCACAGCTCAGCTTCTTGGAGCTGGGCAGCCCAGATGGGAACTGGTTCAACCCACATTCACCTTTCCCAAGCCATGAAGCTGCAGCACCACTGAGTGGAACGTCTGCCTCCTTTCACTCAGCATGAAGTGGGTTGTACCATAACCACACACGTTGGGCCCAGTCTACTGAAGTGACAGCCATCACTAGAATCAGAATGGTGCAGCAGCAAAGCTCTTTGAGCCAGTCCAGTCCGGTGCTACAGGGACCACAACTGGGGCTGTTGGGACCTAGTATTCCATCCCAGCAACTGGTCCTCAGACTGCCTCCAGCCGACCAGATCTCTCCTGGATTGGCATTCTACCCTGGCTAGGGATGGGTGCAATACCAGTGGACACCTGCCCGACGGTCCCTTGAGACTGCCAGCCCCGTTGCCCGTAAAGAGCCGCCTTTACAGCTGAAAGGCGGCTCGAAAAACTCCGTTTCCGTAAGGAAACGAGAGACAGAGCCAGCTAGGGCAGGTAGAGCCCTCTGCGAAGTCCCCAGAGTTCTTTTTTTGTCTCTGGGGAGGAAGCAGGATGAGGCTGCCTATTTTCGCTTGCCGCTGCTCCGGGCTTCGGGAGAACTCTGCGCTTTGCAGAGCCAGGCGATGGGACCAGACCAACTAACGAAAACTAACAGATTATCTGAACAAGTAGGATGAAATCTGGACCTGGGACCCTAAATTGTAAGTATTTCCAATAACCCTAAGACTGACTTTAAAAGTAAAGAAGAGTGGAAGGGGGGGAAACAAAGAAAGTTTAAAATGGCGACTGGCTGAGGCTTGAGAAGAAAGCCGAAAGCGAAAGTCCTTCCGTTTGACTAGTTCAATATGTTACAAAGTAATTGAGACAACAGTGTTGGCTAGAAGCGAAGAGAAAAATTCCTATTTCATGCTTCTTCCTTCTTAGAGACTTGATATTGATATTGTTTGGAGAGAAGTTTTCTTCTTTAAAGGGAAAAAAAATCTGCTTATGTGGCAGGATGGCGTTAAAATTGACAAAGCCAGACAACCAAGCTGTGGGGGGGGGGGCTCCCCCATTTATAAACCACATGAACAAGTTTTGAGCTTGCAGATGCAGAGGAATGGCTTTAAAGATCTAACGCAATTTGTTCTGGAGGAGATGGCAAGACATGATGAGATTGTGAACCAGAACCTTGAAAAATTTAGGCAGGAAATTAAAGAGTTGGTTCAACAAAAGTATGATAAATTCAAGCAACATATGATAAATTTCTTAGACGCAATGATAAAGATGGATAAAGAGATTAATTTAGAAATAGAGTCTAAAATGAAGGAAGTTGATCACAAGATTTATAATGTGGATAATAAAATACAAAGAATTGAAAATGATTTAACAATGATTCAAGAAAATAGCTCACAAGTAGAGTCAAAAATAAAGGAAGCTGACAACAAGACTTACAATGCAGATAATATAAAACAAAGGATTGAAAATGAAGTCACAATGATGCAATTCAGATTTATGGAATTTGCGGTCAGAATTAGGGGAATACAGGAAAATAAAAAAGAAGATTTGAGAAAGATGTCTGCTGAAGTTCTGGCTGGGATTTTAAAGGTTAGTCCTGAAGAGGTATCCTGTAAGATTGATAAGGCCTACAGAGCAAATTCTTGGTTGGCAAAGCAAAGGCAGTTGCCTAGAGATGTGGTGATTTACTTTACCGATAAAGGAATAAGAAATGATATTGTGCAAAAGTCTTTTAACTCCACTCTTGAAATGAATGGAAGGAAGATTTGGATATTTAAAGAGCTGCCGCCCAAGATGTTAAAAGATAGAAAGGATTTTGGATTTTTGGTGACTGAGCTAAAGAAACAAAAAATCCCATTTAGGTGGGATGCTCCAGTTGGAATAATATTGAGATATCAAGGAGAAAGATATCAACTAAATACTGTTGAAAAAGCAGAAGAATTTTATTATAAGGTTCTTAAAATGGATTCAACATCTCCATGTATAACATATGAGGGGAATAAAGAAAAGCAAAATCAACAAGAGATTGAAACCCAGGCTAAGCAGATGGAGGTGGAGGTAATGGAAAAACAACAAGTTACAGAGGCCTTTTTGGATGAGCCGCTTTTGGATTCTCCTTCAGAGGTTATAGTTGGATTACCTATAAATACAAGAGAGGCGGCTTTGGATTCTAATGTGATGACTTATCAAGTTACAGACCAGCATGGAAATCAATCAGTTGATATACAATTCATAGAAAGGCAACCAGGATGGAAATCTAAGCCACAAAAAGTTAAGAAGAGAAGAAGCAGGTCCTACAAAAATAAAAACTTTTAGACTAAACAACAGTGTAATGCCAGTTACTTAAGAGACGATTAAATACATGAAAATATAGCTGAGGCAAAGTACTGGTTTATACTATTTTGAGGAGAGTGACAGATCTCTGCAGTGCTGTACTTTTGGGATGTGGAAGATGGCCTTAAATTGAGTGGATTGGAACTTTCTATTCTGGACTCTTTGACAAATGGATTACGTTTATGTTGAGCTACAAGGCAAGAGAACTATGGGATTGGGGCATGCAGAAGATCTGGTTGTTACCCTAACACGGTGGTTGGAATGAATAATCTAGATGAAAGACATTACAAAAGACACTATATGGAATATAAATATAAAGTCACTCGGGTGTTTTTTTGATATATGAAAACATTTATTATTGATGGGGGCAGATGGTAATTGAAGATACCGAACATACTGTTGGAATTAGAATTTGATGTTACCCTAACATGGGTGATGGAATTAACAATCCAGTTGAAAGACATTAGAAGATATCATATGGATTACAAGCTTAAAGTCATTTGAGGATTTTATTTATATATGGAAATATTTTTTTTTAGTGGTGTGGGCAGAAGAACAAAGATATTGAAAATATTATGTATGGTAGATCTGTAGGAAAGTGGGAGGAGATAGGTTAGCTTATTGATTGTTTAGTTTAGGAAAAGGGATGTTATGTTATATTAATATACGTAAAAGATTTGAATTAAGAGATATATGCATGGGGGAGGAGGAAATGGATAGATTATGAGTAGAAATTGCTAAATCAGGATTTATTATATAATTTTACAACTGAATGTTGCTTTGAAATGTATAGTATAAGGGGGATATAATAATATTGTTAGAAAGAAAGGGTCAACATATGGGGGGTGGAGTAAAAATGATGGTAAAGTATTATATAATCTGTTACTAATTCAGGTTTTATTTTGGAGAAGCCATAGGGGGAGGGGAGGGGAGGGGGGTTTAGGGAGGAGGGGGGGGAAAGGGGGAAAAATCTGTATTTGAAAAACTTTTTCAATTAAAAAAAACAAAAAAAAAAAACAAAAAAACCAAAAAGATAATAATAATAATAAAAAAAAAGACACCTGCCCCACACCAGTCCAACAACCAGTGCAATTCCAGCCACCGATGATGGCCTCGCCACTGGTACTGGTTCAGCCACTGCTGTAATTCCAGCCACCGGTCGTGACCCTACTGCTGATACCCCCCCATCAGCCAGCGCCAGCCCAGCAGCCCATGCCAGCTCTGCAGTCGGCCCCGTCAGCTGCTCCCCCTCTGCGATTTAGAGCATTTGATGGGACCCCAGGAAGGCTAGCTTACTTCCTCAATCGAGTCTGGGTTTACATTGACCATTATGGGGATCAATACCCAACCGATCGAGACTTGATTTCAGTGATTGCGGATGCCATAAATGAGGGAGAGGTGGTGGAGTGGATAGCTGAGCTAGATGATGAGGAAGGCCCGGAGCTAGAAGATGCTGATGAATTCGTCCAGCTG